CTGCCAACCTATTTTCTAAAATAGCATACTATTTTGCATTCCCACCAGCAATGTATGAGAGTTCCAATTGCTTCACATCCTTGATGGTACTTTATATCTACAGATGGGCTTTTTTTTTTTTTTACATTAGTTATTCTAATAGGTTTGCAGTATATCTCCTTGTTGTATTAATTTGCATTTCTCTAATGACTAATGATGTTGAGCCTCTTTTTATGTGCTTACTTTCCATCCCAATTATCTTCTTTTATGAAATGTCTGTTAAAATCTTTGGCCTGTTTTTGATACATGCACCCCAATGTTTATAGTAGCATAATCTACAACAGCCAAATTGTGGAAAGAGCCCAAGTGTCCATCAACTGAAGAAATAAAGGAGATGTGGTATATATGTGGTGGAATATTACTCAGCCATCAAAAAGAATGAAATCTTGCCATTTGCAATGACATGGATGGAACTAGAGAGTATTAAGCTAAGCAAAATAAGTCAGTCAGAGAAAGACAAATACCATATGATTTCATTCATATGTGGAATTTAAGAAACAAAACAAGCAAAGGAAAAAAAAGAGAGAAAGAAGCAAACCAAGAAACAGACTCTTAACTATAGAGAACAAACTGATGGTTACCAGAGGGGAGGTGGGTAGGGGAATGGGTGAAATAGGTGATGGGGATTAAGGGACACCCTTGTTGTGCTGAGCACTGGTGATGTATGGAAGTGTTGAATCACTATATTGAACACCTGAAACTAATATTACATTGTACATTAACTAACTGGAATTTAAATAAAAACTAAAAAAAAACAGTAAAAAAATCTTTTGCCAATTTTTATTGTATTTCATTGTGTTTGTTTTCTTATTATTGGGATTTGAGAATACTTTATGTATCCAAAATACAAGCCTTTTACTGGTAAGGATTGATATGATTTGCAAATCCTTTCTCCTAGTCTATGACTTGTCTTTATTTCTGGAATAAAAACACTTGAACAAATACTTGTTTCAGTAATATTTAATGTAATATATCTATCCTTTGTTCCATACCACACTACTTGACTATTACAGCTGTATAGTGAATCTGGAAAGGAGGTAGAGTGAGTGCTCCAACTTTGTTGTTCTTCTACAAAATTGTGTTAGTTATTCTAGTTGTTTTGTTTTTTTTTAAATTCCATGTAAATTTTATAATGAGCTTGCCAATTTTGCAAAAATTCTTTCTGGGATTTTGATGCAAATTTTGTTGATTAGCTTGGGGAAGACAGACATCTTTAAATTATCTAGTCCTCCAATCCATGAACATGGTAAATTTCTTCATGTATCTAGATCTGCTTTGATTTATTTAATCCATGTATTTATATTTTTTAGCATTTTATATTGCACGTATCTTGCAAAATTTGTACCTAAGGACTTCATGATGTTGGTGCTGTTGCAAGTGGTACTGTTTTTAAATTCCAATTTCTAAATGTTTATTAATATTATATAGAATTATGACAGATTTTTATATATTGACTTTGTTTCTTCAGAACTTGATAAACTTATTAGTTGTGTAGTTTTTTGCCAAATTCTTCTCTAAGTAGAAAGCCGTATCTTCTCTGAATTGAGAGAATTTTATTTATTCCTTTCCAAGTGGCGTGTTTTTCTTTTTTTTTTTAAATTTTTTTATTCTTATGTTAATCCCCATACATTACATCATTAGTTTTAGATGAAGTGTTCCATGATTCATTGTTTGTGCATAACACCCAGTGCTCCATGCAGAATGTGCCCTCCTCAATACCCATCACCAGGCCAACCCATCCTCCCATCCCCCTCCCCTCTAGAACCCTCAGTTTGTTTTTCAGAGTCCATCGTCTCTCATGGTTCGTCTACCCCTCCGATTTCCCCGCCTTCATTCTTCCCCTCCTGCTACCTTCTTCTTTTTTTTTCTTAACATATATTGCATTATTTGTTTCAGAGGTACAGATCTGAGATTCAACAGTCTTGCACAATTCACAGCACTTACCAGAGCACATACCCTCCCCAGTGTCTATCACCCAGTCACCCCATCCCTCCCACCCCACCCCCCACTCCAGCAACCCTCAGTTTATTTCCTGCCATTAAGAATTCCTCATATCAGTGAGGTCATATGATACATGTCTTTCTCTGATTGACTTATTTCGCTCAACATAATACCCTCCAGTTCCATCCATGTCATTGCAAATGGCAAGATCTCATTCCTTTTGATGGCTGCATAATATTCCATTGTATATATATACCACACCTTCTTTATCCATTCATCTGTCGATGGACATCTTGGCTCTTTCCACAGTTTGGCTATTGTGGACATTGCTGCTATAAACATCGGGGTGCACGTACCCTTTCGGATCCCTACTTTTGTATCTTTGGGGTAAATACCCAGTAGTGCAATTGCTGGATCATATGGTAGCTCTATTTTCGACTTTTTGAGGAACCTCCATACTGTTTTCCAGAGTGGCTGCACCAGCTTGCATTCCCACCAACAGTGTAGGAGGGTTCCCCTTTCTCCGCATCCTCGCCAACATCTGTCGTTTCCTGACTTGTTAATTTTACAAGTGGCGTGTTTTTCTTTTTCTTGCCTTAGGGTAATGACTAGGATATCTATCATGATGTTGGATAGAAGTTTTAAGAGGGGACATCCTTGCCTTATTTCTAATCTTGGAGAAAAGCATTCAGTCTTTCACCATGAAGTGTGAAGTTAGCTGTAAGTTTTTCATGGAAGTCTTTTATTATGTTTAGGAAATTCTCTACCATTAATAGTTTGCTGAATTTTTATCATAAATACATGGTGAATTTTGTCAAAGGCTTTTCTGCATCTATTGAGATGATTATATGATTTGTATTCCTGAGTCTATTAATATAGTGAATTACATTGGTTGATTTTGAAGTTTGAGCTAACCTTGGGTTTAAGAGGAAAAGATTTAAGACATTGTAAATGTGGTCAAAGAACTAAAGGAAACCATGTCAAAAGAATTAAGAGGGAAAAAAAAGAATTAAGGAAAGCATGAGAACAATGTCTCACCAAATAGGGAATATCAATAAAGATATAGACATTATTTTTAATAACAGAAATAGAAATTCTTGAGTTGAAAAGAAAAATAAATAAAATATAAAGTTTAATAAGTGGATCAGTAGCAGATGGAACGTGGCAGAAAAAAAAAAAATCAGTAAGCTTTAAGATAGGTCAGTTGAGAACATCCAGCCTGAAAAACAGAAATTTTTTAAAAAAAATCAAGAAAAATAAATGGTCTCAAAGAACAGTGGGATGCTGCAAGAGTACCAACATACACCTAATGAGAGTCTCAAAAGGGGAGAAAGGGGCAGAAAGAATATTTGAAAAAATAATGGCCAAAAACTCCCTAAATCAGGGGAAAGAAATGGACATACATACAGATTCAGAATTTTTGACATAGCAAGACTCAAAATTTTAGCAGATTTGTACATTAACAAATTCCTAGCATTGCATACATGTAAGTTGTTAATACTATTGTAATTCTTGGTGCTTAAACTTTAAACAGTGTTACATTTTTATTTAAGTGAAAAAAATATGCCTTGTCATCCTTTTTCCTGTATTGTGTGATATGTTTTCTCTATTTAACTGTCATATACACATATTATTTCTAGATAGGGCTCATTAATATGGAAATTTGGCTAGGAAAATAAATGCCCATGTAAAGACGTTTTTGTGTTTTTTTTTGCTATCAAGATTTTATTTAAATTCAAGTTAGGTAACATATAGTGTAGTATTAGTTTCAGGAGTAGAATTTAGTGATCCATCACTTGCATACAACACCAAGTGCTCATCACAACAAGTGCCCTCCTTAATGCCCATCACCTATTTACCCCATCCCCTCACCAACATCCCCTCCAGCAACCCTCAGTTTGTTCCCTATACTTAAGAGGCTCTTATGGCTTGCATTTTTACTAAAAACAAGAACAGACAAAGAATCAATAATAAATCTACATTCAAGGAACTTTGGAAGTATTTTTATAAACTTTAATTTTTTTAAATATAAAACATATTGCTTTTTCATATGCAAAAAGATAAAGTAAAAGTAATTCTTAAAAACCAGACATATGGTGTGCCTGGGTGGCTCAGTTGACTGAGCATATCTGCCTTTTGCTCAGGTCGTGATCCCAGGGTTCTGGGGTCGAGCTGCATCAAGCCCAGCATGGACCTCAGCATCAGGCTCCCGGCTCAGTAGGGAGCCTGCTCCTCCCTCTCCCTCTGCTGCTCCCCTGCCTGTGCTCTCTCACTCTCTCTCTCTGTCAAATAAATAAAAAAACTTAAAAATAAACAAAACACAGACATATATATATATTTTTCCATTAAGTCAACTATTTATGTATGTTAAGAATGTGTTCTCAGACACCAAAATAATTGTTTTAAATTCTACTATAACAACAGACCTATCTCATGTATGTCTTAACTAATTTTTCCTTCTGTGGTGTGTGTGTGGATTTCATGAGTTTCTCATGAATTATCTATGTGTGTGCGTGGGCTTAAACATACTGTGAATATACATGTTCATGTGGGAGTGTGGATGAACATGTTTATTAAGAAGAATTTTTAAGATAAGAACATATTTATGGGTGATTCCTCTTTTTTTTTTTATTCTTATGTTAATCCCCATACATTACATCATTAGTTTTAGATGAAGTGTTCCATGATTCATTGTTTGTGCATAACACCCAGTGCTCCATGCAGAATGTGCCCTCCTCAATACCCACCACCAGGCTAACCCATCCTCCCACCCCCCTCCCCTCTAGAACCCTCAGTTTGTTTTTCAGAGTTATGGGTGATTCCTCTTAACCTATTATTCTTAGGTATATATTTTTAAAGATATGTAAACTTTGTAAACAAAGATGTTTAAACTTTGTAAACTTAATCAATATCTGGGAAAATTACTATAAGAAATTAGAAATTTGTGGGCTGGACAGGTAAATATTTTCTCTAGATAGATCTGAGGTGGATGAAAGTGACTTATTGTAGATTCTTTGTAATTAAAATCTGAATCCTGTAGAAGACTTTGCCTTCTCCACAGCCTTTTTAAAGGCACTCTTGACCTCTTTGTTCCTCAGGCTGTAGACCACTGGGTTCAGCATGGGGATGACCATGGTGTAGAACATGGATGCCACTTTGTCCATGTCCATGGAATGGCTGGAGCTGGGCTGTAAGTACATGAAGGTGCCCGTCCCATAGAAGATGGACACTGTAGTGAGGTGGGAGGCACAGGTGGAAAAGGCCTTCTGGTGTCCCTCAGATGAGCACATCCTCAGAATAGTGATAAATATAAACAGGTAGGAGATCAAGATGACCAAGACAGAAAAGAGAACACTGAAGCTCACTACCAAAAAAATAACCATCTCACTGATGTAGATGTCTGAACATGAGAGAGCCAGAAGAGGAGGAGCATCACAGAAGAAGTGATCAACCACAAGGAGAGCCTGAAAATGTTCCCAGTGTGGACGGAGGCATTCAGGAAACTGCAGATGTAGCAGCCCATGGCCAGACAAGCACACACACCTGTCGTCATGGTGGTGGTGTAATGCAGGGGTTTGCACACTGCTGCAAAATGGTCATAAGCCATTGAGGCCAAGAGGAAGCTTTCTACAGTGATAAAGGCTACAAGGAAAAAGAACTGGGTGACACAAACATTGTAGGAGATGACCTTGTCTCCTATAAGTAATCCAGCCATGACCTTGGGAGTGACAACTGTAGAGTAACCAAAGTCCACCAGAGACAGATTACTGAGGAAAAAGTACATGGGAGTGTGGAGATGGGAGTCCAAGAGAATCAGTGCCATCATGCTCAGGTTCCCAACCACAGTGATGAGGTAAATGAGGGTGAACATGATAAAGAGGGGGATCTGCAGCTCGGGGGCATTGGTTAACCCCACAAGAATGAACTCAGTCACTTCTGTACTGTTATCCATGGGGGTCAGTTGGGAATTATGCAGCTGCCCTGAAGCAGTGAGAAAATCGAATCAGAATTATAAACGGAGTGGATTCCGCTGAAATTAGTCTGCATGTCCACTCTGTGTCTTACTTCGGTATTGCAAGAATTTGTTTTCAGGATGTTCTAGAACTAAAGCATGGATGTGACAACAAAATGCAATCTTAAATCATTATAGAACATGCCAGAAAAAGGATTTGGAGATAATGCATCCCAATCTCTTAACTTCATAGAAGACCAAATTAAGGCAAAAAGAAGAAAAGAAAGGACTTAAGTAATGTCACCAGAGTTGTTGCTAATTGGAACAGCTCAGACTCCCAAGTCAAACCTTACAAAACAACCACAAATTACTCTTTGTATTAAACTAGAATCGCTTAGTAAAATTAATGTGAAAGTGAGTTAATTTTGCTTCAACTGGCCTTTTTTTTGTCTTGTCCATTGTGTCAAGAACAGTGTTATATGTTAGTAAAAGGTAGTTAAATAAAGCATGTCCTTAGCCTAAAATATATCTTTGAGCAAACACATGAAGGAAGTAGGGGAGTGAGTCTATATTTGGGGAAAGAGCATTTCAGGCAGAGGCAACGACAAATACATGGTACTAGGGTTTGAAAATGCCGAGATTGTTCTAGGGACAGCAACAAAACCAATAAGGCTACAGTGGGAAGGAAAGTTTAGGTGAGAGAGGTAGAGCAGGGGGGAGCCATACACTACATTAAATTATGAAGCTTTTATTTTGAGTGAGATTGGAAAACAATAAAAGGATTTAGACCAAAAGGGGACATAATCTGACTTCTTTTTTAAAAAGGTCACTCTTGTAGATCTGTTGGTAATTGAATTTAACATAATAAGGATGGAAGGTGCTGGAAAAATTAGGATACCACTGTAATATTCTAGGTAAATGATGGTGAGTGCCTGAACCAAGATGGTAGTGCGAGAGATAATGAGAAATCCATCCACTTTGGGATATATTTCCAAAGTAGAGCTGACCAAATTTCCTGATATATTGAAAAAGGGACATGAGAGAAAGAGAGGGGTCCACGTTGACTCCAAGTTTTGTATAGTGATACAAAAAATAGTGTAAAAGAACCAGGTGTTTGGGGAAAGGGGGAAAGAAATCATTTAATCAAGTCCAAGATACCTTTTGGCCATCCAAGTAGAGCATTGTATAAATAATTGGTATGCAATCCAGAGTTGAGGAGAGGTCTGGCTGCCTCAGATTATATTAATTTGAACTATGCTGGCAATTTTTAATGGTTCGACACGCATATATTAAATGCACACCATCAAAGAAAAGAGTACATACAGACAGACAAAAATCAGAGTATTCTAATGTTTACAAAGTCGAAAGGATGATGAGATTCAGTGGGTAAGGGGAATGTGGGAGAGAAAACTACTGCCCCAGGACACTGGACTCAGTCAGACCAAGTAGGCAAAGAGACTTTCAGAGGAGAGTTTAAGTATGTATCGGGTCATGTTGATGAATGACTATAAATTCCAGAAGGCACAGTGGAATGATTTCAGGAGTTGGGCAGGAGTGGGAGCCAAGGTCAGTGAAGGGGATATGCAGAGATGTACATACATTATTTTGTAGCAGTTGAGGGCTTAGATGACAATCCTCAGCTTTGCGATGAGTGACATAGAGCTAAATATAATAATGAGATTAGTCCTATGGGTCTCAAGGTAGGGTAGGGGTTGGGAAGGCAATTTGGGCAGTTGAGAGTCATGACAGAGTTCACTGCTGTTACTAGTGGTATAAGAGGGCCACTTACACAGAGCAGGGTGATGAGGATACCCCCTTGGTTCCTTAAAAAAACTGCTCATTTGATAGCATAGATACAGATTTCCCAAATTCTGGAAAAACAACAACAGTGTGCTAGGAATCACTTCAAAACTTTTTACCAACTTTCTTTTCCACATCTGAAATCTTAGGTTTTAATCCAACATCTTCCTGGAGGAAAAAGAAAGTTATAACTCATTTTAATCTTTTGGAAAGAAATTAAGAACTACAATGGTTCTTCGAGGCATTTGTTGACCTGTTACCACTCTTTGTTCCACAGATGGAAACTTCTGATGGAATGGACCTCCATATAGTTGGTGCTCAGTACAAATTAAAAAATGCAATCTTCCTGACAAAATGTCCTCAGCCTCTGACACAAAATCTCATGTATTCTTCGAAGAATAACACAAGTTCCAAAGCTTTCCTGAAGTCTTCCTCAGCTCCTACCTCTTTAGACATAACTATGTCATTATAATCAATCGAATTCATCACTTCGTTACTCTAAGAAAAAAAATTTTTTAAAGATTTTATTTATTTATTTGACAGAGAGATAGAGAGAGAGCACAAGTAGGCAGAGCAGCAGGCAGAGGGAGAGGGAGAAGCAGGCTCTCCGCTGAGCAGGGAGCCGGACGTGGGGCTCGATCCCAGGACCCCAGGATCATGACCTGAGCTGAAGGCAGCTGCTTAACCGACTGAACCACCCAGGCGCCCCACTCTAAAAAAAATTTATCATAATTTATCATTTTGTATAAGTGGAAGTCATGATTAATAATGACTTTAGCTGTTATAGGTATGAATTATTGAGCATTTGCTCTGTGCCCATCACCAACTTAGGGGCTGTGCTACTTTACCTCATTTAATCCTCATGTATTGTGTGAGATATTATCCCCACTTCACAGGTATGGAAGCTGAAGGTTTCTGACATTTAGTTACTTGCTTGTGGCTGAAGAAAGTAGCAGAGCAGGGATTTGAAGACAAGGCATTCTGAATTGAAGTTTAAGCTCCTTACATGATGAAATACTCTTTTGATTTTTTACCATTTAAACTAAACTGGGCAAAAAGTAATGCATTTGGTTGACTGGCTGATGACTGATTAAGTGACTAAATCTATCATTGGAAGTCAATGTGGAGAATTAAAAAGCACAAACTTGGGAATCAGATATACCTACCAGTTTGTGTGAACTTTGTGCAAATAACCTACCTTTCTGGATCTTAGCTGAATAATAAGAAGTGGATCTACAAATATTTGCAACCTACTTCAACCGCTCAAAAACTTCTCACAGTTAAAAAGGAACATGACTTCTTAGTAACACCAACCAATAAGCCACATAAAGTGCTGGATGTTGTTCATTCCTTCATTCCCTGTATAAGAACAAATAAGTCTGTATGGTGTACCAGGGTGTATGCCTAATTTCCAGGCTTACAGTGATGAACAAGACTCATTCCCTGACCTCAGGATACCTAGTGCTCTGAGACACATAAATAAACTGATGAATACTATGTACTGTTCTCATTCTCCATCCCAAGAGAGAGCGTTGTTTTCTCATTTGCTCAGAACTCTGTGATGGTGGCTGATCATTTACACTACAGTCATTAGGCAGTCCATGTAATAGTTAATAAATTGAGTGCCCAACCCAGATAAGTCTTTAGTGGCAGAATTAGAATTTGAGATTAAATTTACTCATTTCTATAATATGTCTTGTGTGACTTTACACATCTCCATTTTGGTGGATTTTATAGCTGATTACTAACCCTAATTTTTCCCTCATTATTGTTCTCCATTCATTCTCTCTCTTCTTAGATATCATATGAACTGCCAGAATATAATAACATTTTATATTTGATCCTCTTAACAACTCTGAAATTAGTCAAAATAACAAATATTATCATATTCCCTCAAAGAGAAAACAGATCGAAATACTTTAAATAACATGATAAATATATATGTTCTAATAGGACCTCTACCGTGTTGAGACATATAATCCCTGATTGCGTAAAACAGATACAAGAAATATTCAAAACCTTCAACCCAATCTTTCAATAAATCAAAGGAGAAATCACTTCCTTGATGCATTTTCCTAATTACCTCTATCTAGGCAAATTTATGCAGACAGTAGATTTGATCTAGTAGATTTATAAATTTACCTTATTCCCTGAATAAAACAATGTGCAAGTCCAGCGCCTTCATATGTGAGTGGATCTCACATATGAAACAAATCAGAAACTCAGGCTGTGAAAGAAAGTGAACACCTTATTGCAATGTTCTTCTTTAATGTTTGGCCAAAATGTTTAAAGTTGTCTGGAGGGAGGAAGAAACTGAAGAAAACAAAAATGCTACTGGCCTTGGAATCAACTAATAAGAATTCTAGTTCTGGATCTTCTGCTCACGCTTCTTAGATATCACTTAACCTCTTTGAGCTTTGACATCTTCATTTATAAAATGAGAATAATAAGAAGTTAGCCCCAATGCCATCTTTCCTGAAAACTTCTGCTGTGATAAGAAAATGAGAAAATCTCTAAAATGCCTTCTACTTGTAAGGGGTGATTGTCATAATCACAGCCAACATCATTATTATTTGGGATTGTTTTCCCTAGACCTTGTTGCATGCTCTTAGTAAGATCAGTTTGGGGGAAGGTCATTATTGCTACTAGACAACCATTAACAAATCACATGAATGAATGAATGAATGAATGGCCAAAGTGAGTCTGGTTCTTGGGCTGCTACCTCTAAAATGAAGCCACATGGAGTCATGTGGGAACTTGAAAAGTTAAGTAGTGAGAACCAGGAAGGAGTTATAAAATCATGGAATTCTCAGGGAACAAAAACCCTATGAGGGCTACAGAACACTTTCTCACCTAACTAGGGAAGAAGTGATTAAAGTGTCTATGGGGATTCAGCTCTGCTTGTTGAGGGAGGTCATCAGTAAATTCACATTATTTGTAGTAATTCTCTTCGATAATGTGGAAATCAAGCCATACCATGAACTCCAGGGCTGCAATTTGTGTAGATATTGAAGGATGGAGATAATGGGTTCTGTCATTAAACAAGAAAACAGACCTCTGGAATTTACTCACCTTAAATGTTTGTACCACTGAGAAGAAATATCATTTTATTCAACTGTTTATTGATCCCAAATGTGTTTCAGCCATAATGATGAGCCATGGGAATACAGACCCATGCAGAATAAACATCATTCTTGCAT